TATATATATATATATATATATATATATATATATATATATATATATATATTTAACATTGATTACAAATTTCAAAGAATGTTGATGATTCATGTCCCTCTTGTTCATAAGGTGCTTCTCAATAAATTTAATGTGATTTTTTTTAACCTTAAATCCATTGCCTTTACTTGTCACAATATAGGTCAATGGGTAACACAACTTTTTTTATCTTGTACTGATTAATATAATTTAATTAGTGCGTCTTTTATTTTATATTACTTTGTATGCCATTCCCATAAGTATATGTTATCTCCAAATTAAAGATGAATAACAAATAGATTATTATTGCTTTATATCCACATAATAGTGTTTATGTCGCAATACTATTTTTACATCATTAACAGTGTGTTTTTGCACAAAAATATGTTAAAAAGATTTATTCATAGAGACTTTAAAAACTTTAAAATTTAAAACATAATAAAAAAACTCTATAACAACAAGTCCAATATTGCACTACAATGCTATCAATTTCTGAGTTGTGCGAAAAACTCGCTCCAAGGCTGAGCTACATTTCTACACTACTCTGAAGATATGAACAGTATCGCGCTACATGTAGCAATGTTGCGCTACGATGCAACTCTACTTCAGAGTTCAGAGTTGTGCGAAAAACTCGCTCCAATGTTGCGTTACATTTTCGCACTACTCTGAAGATGAACAGCATTGCGCTACATCTAGCGCGATACTGTTCATCGCACTAGATTTTTTTTTTTTATCAATTTTTATTTTTTTTAATTGATTTTTATTCTATATATTATTTTGACAAAGTATATATTAATAAAATTATTTATTTTGTTAAAATATTTTAAATTTCAATTTTATTGTTTTACTTATATTTTTAGTACTAATATATGTAGAGTAAAAAGTAGAGCGAACGATTGGAGATAAAGTTAAATTTTGACATTCTCTACTTTAAAGTAGAGTAATCTTTACACTAAAGTAGATCAGTTGACTGAAGATGCATGGTTAATGCATGCACATTTAACATGAATGTCGAATTCTAAATCATGCGCAATGACACAACTTGTATCAAAGCTTCTTCTAATAGAGGAGATAAAAATAAATTGTGATGTAATTAGCAGATACTGTCCTGCATACATCTTTTGAATCTTAAAGCTAACCGCCTAAACCAACTTTCAATCAACTTTCACATCACGAAAAAGTATCTATCATTGTTACACAATGTGATTCAACTACGCCTTACTTTGTCGTCAACCATTAACAAATAAACCTAACTGGGGCTATATATATAATAACATAGGCTAGCCCTTTTAAGCAAAAGCTTCTTCGAATAGAGAGGAAAAAATAGAAATTATGATACAATTAGCATATATTGTCCGATATATCATTTGAATCTTAAATCTAACCGCCTAAATTAGTTTTGGGGCTCTATATATATATACCTAGCCCTTGTAAGCAAAAGCTTCTTAGAAAAAAAAAATTGAATTGAGATACAATTAGCAGACATTTTTCGACATATATCATTTGAATCTTAAATCTAACCGCCTAAATTAGTTTTCCGATCAACATTTGCATCACAAAGAAAAGTATCCATCATTGTATTACACATTTTGATCCATCTTCAAATTAAAGTAGGTCCTTATTTTGTTGTCGACCATACAAATAACCCTAAACGGGGCTCTATCCAACTCTTTCAGCCAAGACATATTACGAAATCCCAAACACATTGTGAACACATCACCTTAAAATTGTTGTGAAAATGATTTCTTTCATCCCAAGTAAATCATAATCGGATGGCAATGTTTTGAAAATAATCACTACATACCCATAAAGAATATTCAGAATTAGTAGAAAATCCCTCCTTAAAAGGCCACTCCATGTATTTCCATACTTTCTTAAGAAAATATGAACGGGGAATATATCCTTCTTATGAGGCCAGAGGCCTACAATAATATGAAACATATTTCAATTTGCAGCGGTAAAAAAATAAATAAAGATTTTTAACTAAAGGCAACGATAAGGACCAGGTTTTAAATACCGTACCGTATCGGTCGGTATTACCGGTAATACCGGATACCGGTGGTCCGACATGTAAGTTTTTAAACACAAACTTACCGGATACTGTACCGTATCCGGTATCGGTCGGTATTACCGGATACCGGATACCGGATGGGTTTTTTTTGGTACTAACCCAGGTTATCGACAATGGAAAACCACGAGTAAACATAAAGTGGGATCATTAGGTATTTTGTCGACCAATGGTAATTGATGACCTTTCGCCACAAGTAGAAAGTGTAGTGTCGGCTATCAGCCAGCAGATACGGATGAGCTATGCTGCAAGAGTCGATAAAAAACAGATTATTACTATATAGGAAAATGGACGAAAGTCCAAATTAATTCACCGAGTTTTGTGAACTAAAATACGAATTTCCTCATTCAGCTTTCACTTTTCAAGCAAATTTGGGAATCATCTTGAGATCTATAATTACAGAATAAAACCTAGCTTGGGAATTTTCTTGTGCAGAGGCAACTTTTCAAAAAAAAACATAATTTCAATAAGAATACTGCAATGTTGATGATGGTTAGCTCGTTTTTTTATCTGTAACTATGTAAAAGTTCGACTCCACCATACATATGTTGATGATGGTTAGCTCGTTTACTACATGCAGAAATTAATCTATCAGATTAATTATTTTCTCAACAGACAAAGGGAAAAAAAAAAATTGAATTCAGTTTTGGCAAGTAGTAATTCCCGAATCTCTATGATAACGAAACCTGAAAAATTGCACGGAAAGGAAGCCAAATGCTAAAGCCACGAGCAACTGGACGGGACCAAATAGTTTCCTCTTCAACAACTTTTTAAACTGGACAGGGGCCGTAAAAATGGCAGAAATCAATCCAAAATACAGCAACTGAGGGAAATGCAGTGAAACTCCATGTGCATCTTTAGCACCTGATATCCAAAAAAATCTAGCCGGTTAATTTTATTTCAGCTTGTAAAAAGTAAATTTTTGTGGTGCTGGAAGTAAATAAGGAGAAAAAAACAGAAGTAAACAATACCGAGAACTATACTCCCATTCCAGTACACAAAACCGAGAAAAGCCACAAATACCATAAAGAAAGGACTCAAGGAAACGAAAATCTCCCAGAAATGGTTCCACGAGATGACTATGATGTCCAAAATTTCGTCGACCAAACCTGCACACAAAAACAAAAATGAAACACGGTAAAAAAGAAAACCGCAGGAAAGTTTGTTTCTTTTTTTCTTTTTTTTCGGTGGTAATTGAATTCTTTTGAGTTGCTTCGAATGAAAATTTTATATACTGAATTTGAACTTTTTTTGCAAGCGGGCACGTGCAATTTTAATTCCATCTCCTTTATTATATACTGAATACTACTTACGAAGACTATACAATCGTACGAAAAATGAGGTATGACCTGATGAGTGTGCCATGGGAACAGATGTTTGTGGAGTAAAGCTTTTGTGACTCGTAATGACCTTATTACCCCTTCGCTTTCTCAAGTTAGTGGCAACTGATACATTATCTTGACTCGAATAAAGATCATTGTTTTTCATTGATGTGCCCATATCCTTTATTTCCTCACCACTTTTATTATGGGACTCGGCAAATTGTATGACGCTAGTGCAGGCGACAAAAAGCGTCCATATAATATTTGTTTGTCGTATCAATACGGATAAAGCCCCAAGCTACATGTAAAATCCAAAAGAAAAAAAAATTAATATAACTAAAAAAGAAAAAACAAGAGTCAGTGACTAAAGAACCAAATAAATAAAGAAATAAAAATAAACACTAAGGGTGTGTCTGTTTAAAAATTTTCTCAAATGTAGCAAGGTCCCGATGACGGGTATTCATACTCAGAATCTACCTCAACTTTAACGCAACCCCACTATCCTCGTTATTTTCAATATAATTGAATATAATTGAATAATACAGATCAATCATTCTTACACATTACATCACAACTTTAATTCACTATTCATCCACTCACATAATTTTAACTAACCATCATTTCAACAAGCTTTAATTATTTTATTTCAAATATCATTTTAATATAAACTCAAAATCCCACTAACAACTAATCATACAACAATTTTCAAAATTAACAACAGTTAACCAAAATAACTCGTTTTTAGCGGATATATTTGTATCCAAGCACGCCCTAAAAGGCTCAAAAAGCTCCTACAGAAAAACCCAAAGGAACTGAAAACCTGAAGAAAGAAAAAGCATAGAGAACAAAAGGAAATAATATTTTTTACTAATATTTAACATACTTTACATGGAGTATCACACAATTTCTCACCAGCGAGCTCAGCAGATACTTCTTCTTGAGAGCTAAAAGATACATTACGAGCACAGCCGTCAGTGATGCCACGTCTGTATAGTACAGAAAAGTGAAGAACCAGTGTAGAGGATATAAAGAAATAACCACAGCTTGCAATGTTGCCTTTTTTTCATCGAGAGACGGTCTAAGATGCACGAGTATCTCATAAACAAGAATGCTACATAAAACGGCCAGAACTCCATTGGTGAGGCGTAGAACTGAAGTGGTGCACGAGTCCGTAAAAGAAGAAACTGCTCCCATGAAGAATAAGCCTGGAAACAAAGAAGCAAGATAAGCAAGTGAAAGAAAGTACCTGCAAAAAGGGGTCGAATTGCGAAAAATCAACTTCTTTTGCTTGAAATCTTTGTGCACAAACTGAATCTACCGAAGAAAAGTCCTGCTCGATGGGATTTATTTTATCATCTATAACCATCTGAGGTCAGTTCTATAACACATTTTTCAGTTTTTTTCTACTATGCAATGACTTCATATCCAAATATAGACCAGAACTGATGATAAAGTACAGATAGAATGTCACATTATCTAGCTTTCACACTGAGGGTGTGATTGGATATGGATTTGATTAGTTTTTTATTGGTTTTTTTGTTAACCATAGTTAATTATGAAAAAGATGATAAGATTAGTTAGTAGGAATTTGAGTTTAAATTAAAACAATATTTAAATAAAATAATTAAAGATGATTTGATGTAAAAGTAGGAGAGGGATGATATGAAGTGATGGTTAGTTAAAATTATACGAGTAGATGAATAGTGAATTAAAGTTGATATGATGTGTCAGAATGATTGGTTAATAATATTTAATTATATTGATAATATTGATGATAGTGGGGTTGAGTTAAATTTGAGTTTTGATTTGTTTTTTTGCTTTGGATTGAATTTATATCCAATCACACTCTGCGAATTTCGACTCTATCATCTCATATGAAGCTGCCACATGGAGGAACTATGCAAAAGACAAGGAAATCGATAAACACATCACATGAATACACTATATATGATAATTATTCAGATTCAAGTGAATACTTATTGGTTGGTAGAGTGAACTGCTAAGCTATTAGCTTAATTAACAACGATAAGTTCCTTAAAGGTAAAGACTCTGGAGCTGGAGCTCACAGTTGATACTTGACAGGGATAAGGACTAAAAACAACTGTCGGGAAAAAAGCTCAACATAGCTGATCAAAGAAAGAAATTTCTCTCTCAGTCTGCATTATTTTTACATCTACAGTAACCTTTCATTAGTTATTCTAAACAGTTAAATTCACTAAATAATAAATTAGATTCAATTACCAGCTACCCATTACCCGCTATCAACTAGACTACCCGGCCGTTATAAATTACCAGCTCCACACAGTCATCATCGACCAAGCAAACACTATGAGTCTATGACTAAAGTAAGAAACCACAAAACACCCAGCTTAAATGTTAGTGTCCAGCTAGCTAAAGCAACCTAAAAATCACTCAATTCAGGTATGAGTAGAAATGCAATAACTTGTCAAAAACGATATTTGGAACCAACTACCGATTATTGGCTATCAGCTATACGAGTATAAATGCAATAACTGGCCAAGAACCCCTCAAGCTTCACAGTGCACTTATAAAACATTTACTTATCTTTCCNATATAAGAATTAACAAAAAAAAGGTGCGCGAGCATAAAAGATCAAACTTTTCAGAAATCTACACAAGCAATGCGTAAGGAATTTACCTTAACTCGACAAAAATTAGGTAAATTCAAAGAGATATAAAAAGGGTTTTACCATGTCCGGGCTGGGAACGATTTGATTAACGAGAATAGAGATCGGAATCAGCCATAGTACGACGGCCGACGCAACTGCAATCCGGCCCATATCAAAGATCGAATTTTTTTTCAATTGTTTGGATTGATTTGCAGGGACTTTGGGTACTCGAATTTCCCCTTTTCTTTTTTCTTTTCTTTTTCTCTGTGTTGCTCTTTGCCAATAGTGTTTAACAAATTATCTTGATCTTTAGAAAAATCTCTAATTTTCACTACTCAACACAATGTTCCATTCAATAAGCTTCCATCTAGTGAAGCTATTATCTCATTTGCCAACTTTTGTTTTTTTCTTTCCATGAGAACTATAACCAAGAAGGCAAGAACAAAGGAACACACCAAAATTTAATGACAAAGGACTGTGTCAACAATTAATCATCACAAATTATACATAAGACCGCACTCTTCACCTTCTTTCCTCTTCCTGGAGACCGACAATTCATCTCCTTTGCACGAACACCGGAAAATTCATCTCCTTTACACGAACAACTGGAAAATTCATCTCCTTTCCCGCCTCAAACTATTTTTCACCTTCATCACACATCTAATCCTCTCCTCAATACCATCTTCAATCTCCCCACACAACCTTTCATCCAACAAACCCATTTTCCCTCCCGACTCCAAAGCCCCACGAACCAACTCATACGTATACTCTCTCGGAACTGAACCTCCCTCCACCAACTCCGCCATGAAAGCCGCCGCTTCCTCCACTCTCCCGACCTCACACAAACCATGAATAATAGGCGTGTATGAGCTCGAACTCGGCACCCCATGATTCCTCTCCTTCATCATCCTCAACATCTCAATAGCCCGGTCAACCTCATTCACAGCACTAAAATACCTTATGAACGAGTTGTAAGTAACTCGGTTAGGCTCACATTCTCTTTCGCACATTTCGTCGAACAACTCAACTGCACGACCAATCCTGTTTGTCTTGCAACACCCGTTGATCAAGCAATTGTAGGTCACCACATCTGGCGAGAATCCCCGGAAGAGCATCAGCCGGAACAAATGGTTTGCCTCCCAAACCCGCCGCCGGATGGCTTTCCGGGAGGCGGTGGCCAGCGCGTGGCGGCAGTAGGAGCTGATGAGGATCGTGTAGGTGAAGATGTCCGGTGGGCATTTGAATCCGGGAAGACTCATCTGCTCGAAGATGGATTTTGCCCTTTTGAAGAAATTGACTCTGCAGAGTGCTTGAATTACCGTGTTATAGGCTCGGACGTCCGGCGAGCAGTGGAACTGCTTCATCCTGTAGAAGGCGGAGAGGGCTTCGTTCGCCAGGCCGTCGTCGCCTAGGGTTTTGACGAGGCAGGTCATGGTGGAGGTGGTGACGAGGGCAGCGTGATTCTCGTGCAGCCGCCGCCTAGACATGTTCTTGAGGAAATCCCAGAGAAGGTTCATTCGATTGCCTTTGGCGAGGACGATCGCCATCTCGCGGCAGGTCCGCTCGTCGTGCCGGAAGCCGAACCGGTTCTCGACCCAGTAGAAGAACTCGAGCGCTTTGTCGAGGCCAAGATTCAGGAGCTTGGGGTCTCTGTGGGCCGCGGGGCCGAGGAATAGGGAGCCTGTTTTGCGATTGGTTGTTTCCTGCTTGAGGTTTCGCTGACGAATTGGGGAGCGGTGGCGGTGGGTTTTCTGGCGGCCGATGGATCTCGGCGACTGGAAGAGGTGTAGAGGGATTGATCTCAGGACCTGAGAGACGTTATCTGATGTCCAGATGCGGGTTTGGTTGTGTTGGGTAGGAGCGGAGTCGAGAGGTCTGTTTTGAATGACGGCGGCGAGGATTTGGCCGGTCAGTCGGTCGGTTGCGGTGGAGAAGCGGCGGCGGAGCGGTGGCGATGAGAACATGGAGACGACTGAAAGAATGAACTGTAACGATATGGTGATTGTGGACTTCATTTAAGGCCCAGACCACATTTAGTTCTGCTTTGGGCCAGTTCAGGTTGGGCCTCAATACATAGATAGCCCACTGGTCCTCCAACAATAGTCACCCCATGTTAAACAAATTGTCTTCTGTTCTGGGAGTCGGGGGCACGGATGCAGAGGATGTCTTAAGGCTCGAGTTAGTTACTTAAATCCGTCACCATTTTAGATGAACCCATGCCTAAAAGTACATTTTTAGATGTATAGTTAGAAATTTAGAATTGAAGACTAGTAGACTATAATAAGCATAAAAAGTTTTTTGGAAAGTCTTGAATCTAGGTGTGTTTTGGTTTTCTATTCACAAATATCAGAAATTGAGCTCCAATTTAAATCTTTCTTTTGAATTTTGGTTAGCTTACAGCAAGAAGAAAATAATTAACCAAGAAAAATCAACAAATACAATAAGATTAGATTTTTTTTTTTTTTTTTAACTGATAATGATATGAGCAAATTTTATTGGGTGGACTTTTGGGAGGTACATACATACTTCATAGAGCTGTGAGGTATTCTAATTTATAATACATAAATCAAACAATGGTTGCTTATTCACAAAGCGCAAGCAAGTAAAACATCCTCAGTGCAAATAAATGAAAGAAATTCAAATGCTTAACTTAAACTTTCAGCCCACAACAAAATGACAATAACAAAGCATTTTCTCTATTATGAAAATAAATATAATTGAAGAAGTAAAACATATCAGAATGCAGATGTACCTGTTTGAGAAGAGCTCTCAGCCTTTATCTGGTTGCTCAAGCAACTCCCCATTTTCTTACGAAAAAAAGAAAATTCAAGGAAAAAAAAAAACAAAAAAGCCTCCGAAAATAAACCTCAGAAGCCAGAAAACATGTAATAAAATTTCAAGAAATCAGCTCACAGCCTTAAAACATACAATCTTCGAAATTCCTTTTTCTTTTTATAAGGAACCCACAAAGAAGATAACTGAACTTGGACGAAACTAATCAAATTTCATCAACAGCCTCAGATCTGATGTAAGAAAAAAAGAACACTCAATTTTATTGATTTTTTCTCTTGTTCAATTTGTGTCCCAGTCGACAACTGTACAAGGACCTCTCTTTTTTTCTTTCTAAAATACGATGTTTTTGACTAAAAAGTGAGCAAAAGGAACATGAAAGATGGGATCTTCATCACAACCAGCACATAAATGAACAGTCTTGAAGCTGAACAGCGTAAAAAAATGGAAGTTTTAGAAGGTTTGGTGGATTTTATAGAAGCCCACCAAGTCTTCTGTTTGAGGTGTCAGGCATAAAGATGCCTTTTGTTAGACCCTTTTACGCAAAATTTGACTCGGTTCCAAGTCTTATGATTTTTTGTTTTTCTTTTATTTGAATAAGTCTTTACTTATAGTTAAGTTTATTTTTTATTTTTTTTTAAACATGTCATACAGTTGATGAATTTATTAATGAAAAATACTATAGGTACATAATCATAGGAATGGGTTCTACCAAAAATAAAAAGAAAAATACTACAAGTACATAATAAATGTACATACATAATACTCACATGGAGTGAGGTCCACTTAATTTTTTATTTTTTATAAGACCCACTCAATGTCAGTGTTATGTACACCTTTATGTACATTATTATTATGTACCTATAGCATTACTTACATAGCATTATTCAAATAAAAAATTAAATGGACCCCATCCTTGTAAGTGTTATGATTTATTATGTACGTAGCATTTCCCTTTATTAATTCGTATAAATAAAGGTAAAATATTGTGATCATTTAATCATATACTTGTCGTATCATATGTTAATTTATATCATCAGTTAATGGATATATTAATTTTTTTTTTAACTTTTGGGAGAAGAGAGGGATTTTACTATTGACCAGGCCCTTTGAACTAACGAGGAAATCTACTAATGATGTGCTCTAAATATTAGAAAAAATAAGGGATTTTTACTGAAGGTCCAAGTCACATTTTTTTTCCGAGATTATTATTATTTTCGAATTATAGTAATAGTTTTTTTCTGTTGATGTTTTAAGAAAATTAGATCTATTCATAATTGTAGTCAACTAGAAACATGAGACAGACTGTTTCAAAATTAATTACTAGTATTAACTGGTGGTACTAGTGAAGTTAAAGTCAAACTTTTTTTAATTATTAAATTATACATGTAACTATAAACACTTTGATAATAAAATAACCCAGGTACTATTACTATCTATTGAGATCTAATATTCTTGTTCATCACAATTTTTTATTTTTTTGTTGAAACTTTAAAATATAGAAACAGGGATATTTATCAAAATTTCATCAACTCAATCTATAAATCATTTTGACAAAGTAGCATAATTTATATAATTATACAATAATATTCTCACACTTCGCACGAAACATAAAATAGATTAATTAGATCAAATAAATCACTCATTATAATATTAAAAGTATTTTTGAAATAGACCAACCAAGAACTCGTATTATTTTTTTCACAATTATGTTACACGTTGAGTATATGTTAAAATTAGTAAATTACACGAGCTCAACATGTAATAGAATATTACTTTTATATTAGAATTATCTATACCTTTTATTTTTTTTCTTTTATATATCTAACTGAATTCTTTTCATCTGNGTTAAAAAAAAAAAAAAAAAATAGAACACAAAAATTTGCAAAGAACAGCAACAAAAAATGTTGAGCTGCAATAATAGACAACCCATGTGTCCCTTTCAAAAATTTGACTTAACTAATATTGCCAAAATTCGTTTGATGAAGAATAAAAACAGTCTAATTATTATCTATATATGAATATGACATTTTTTAATTTCGTAGACCGACTAATTGATGATTAACCCTGATTATTATGTCTATATAGCTACTTTATTACCATAACGGTCTATGTAAGATACAAAGATTATAAATATTCAAATATATAAAACTACTTTGACAAAAGTTGTTTTTAAAGGATACATTTTTTTTCATAAGAATGCATACTTTATTAGAAAATGACATTTTTTAAAAAATAACATACATACAAGTATGAAGCTTAATAATATAATTATATAAGTATGATTTTTATTGTCTAATTCATTTAAAATCTTTATTCAATCATTTAGCTTTATTAGTTCGGTGCAAAATCAGTGCAAATGTTAATTTTTTGATATTTTTTTTTTTTAAATATATCTTTGCATTCAAGTTTGTCTTGTTTTTATTTCATTCAAGAAGAAACACACTCTTGCAACAAGTACCTTCAAACTTTCTTTCACTCTTGAACAAACATTCCAAAACAATCAATATTCAAAATCAGAAACAGCTCTAATAAAACATAATTTTGGCATAAATAACCAAAAAATGTAGAAAAAGCACAAAACAACCAACATTACAATAATCAACGAGGATAGATAGATAATCAATCTTGGAGACAAACACATGATTGAGTGCAGAACTTGTGATTGCTCAAATCACACACCGGCATTATTGTTCGTAAGTTGTAGATCCTTCGGCCTCTTGTTCGCGTATAGTATGAATGTCGTCATCTCGTAAAAGGATCTGTATTGTTTTCGTCGGTGATAATAGAACTGTCAAAATTAAGCATCAGAAAAGAATTAGAGATTATAACATTTTCAAACATATACTTTTTTTTTTCCTAAACTTTCCAAAATAATGCACAACTTTTGCACAAACTATATTATTTTAAAATTTGAAGAGGTGTATGTAGTATAGTACCATATCATATTTTCCATTAGATCTTTGCCTTTTCTCAAGCGTCCAACCGGTTAGACGCTCTTGGAGTGAGGCCTCCGAATTCTTGATGAAATGGTTGCACCATATGATTTCCTAGGTCATCACTTCCGGTTGAAGTCATACGCCATGCACCTTCTTGTTCGATCACTCGTATATGTGATCGACTAGTTATACCCATTGTCACCTATATATGTATATATGTACACACATTTTATATTAAATATTAACAACTTTGAAATAAAACACAAATTAAGAGACAAAATATCACATATATATGTGTTATTAGACTAATATATCATTGTATATATACATTTTATATATACCTCATGGACTTCGATGAGGTATTCTCCGGCCCCATTAATGGACTTGAAAAGCCGAAAAGACAATGGCTCGTCTCCTTCATTATTGCGTTTATTGCGCGTTTTGCTGCTTGAAGATTCGCCACTTTGGAATCCTTGTTGCTGGTATGAAAAAAGAATTATTGATATTAATTTGTTAAATAGCATGAGATTAATAGCCTCTAGATAGAAATTTGTATTTCATTCTATATATATATGTTTTCATTTGTTTTCTTGATATTGGCACTCTTCCAACACTAATTATGCACAATAACATTGTCCATTGTATGTTAGAAAGATTAGAGAATTTGTGTAGTTGCCTCTGCACCCTCAATATGATCTGATCTTGCCATTGGTTGTGGTGTTTGCTGCAATAAATAATAATAATAATATTTATAATAATAATAATAATAATAATAATAATCAATGCATACTAATATAAACATATAAATTAATAATAATAGAAATTTCATTTACATTTTTATATAAAATTGATTAAATAAAAAGAGCATAAACAAACATACCTGATTATAAGCCAATTGAGTGTAGCTATAAGAAATCGGCGTGGGTGCCAGTACACCGTCCACGATTTCGCATTGAAACTCTTCAGACCACTTCATGATAATAAAAATAAAATAAAATAAAATTAAAAAAAAAAAAAAAACTTTTGTTACACAACTTTAGACCACTTCATGATAATAAAAAATAAAATAAAATAAAATTCAAAAAAAAAAAAATGTTACACAATTTTATATGAACATCAGAAAACACAAAATTATATTTATGAATATAAAAAAACAGAAAATTATGTATATGTACACTAAAATAGAACTTTATGGAACATCAAAAAACACAAAATTATATATATGTGCACTAAAATAGAACTTTATGGAACTTTTCACTCACTTACCTGATGGTTCTGATCAATGCTACCATCTTGGTTATCAGAAGGTTGAAATGCCATTTTTTCTTATAAATTATATAATGTGATTAATTGCTAAAATATAAAGCCAAACTAATGTTGTTTATGTAGATAAAAATGTGATTAATGGTTCAAAATATAAAGCCAAACTAATTTTGTATGAAAATGAGAGGAGTAATTTTGTTTATATAGATGAAAATGGGAGGAGAGATTTAGAAATAGACTGTATTTAGTCTGTATTTTTAAATTAAAATTTGAATTAGCATAAATTTATGTATGGGTTAGAAATTAAACTGTACAAGATCTTGTGACTAAAATAAGAGGAATAGAATTGATGTAGTTCTTCTTTGATGTATTTACTGGTTTACACTTTATTTTTATGGGTTAGAAATGAACTGTATTTGGTCTGTATTTTCAAATCAAAATTTGAATTAGCATAAAATTATGTATGTGTTAGAAATGTATTTTCAAATCAAAATTTGAATTAGCATAAAATTATGTATGTGTTAGAAATGTACTGTACACGTTAGAAATGAACGTTAGAAATAAACTATATTTGGTCTGTATTTTCAAATCAAAATTTGAATTAGCATAAATTTATGTATGTGTTAAAAATGAATTGTACAGTACAGTCTATACTAAGTCGGTATTGGTATTTTCAAATCAAATTTAGAATTACCATAAATTTAAATCTATTTCTAATCAGCTTTTCTCCCTTACTGATAAGTATTTCCTTTCTGTACTAAGTCGTATTTTCAAATCAAATTTTGAATTAGCATAAATTTAAATCTATTGCTAATTAGCTTTTTTCCCTTACAAATAAGTATTTCCTTTTTATTTTTTTTTCCATTCTTTTGCTTTCATTTAGTTTTGTATATTAGTTTTGTATATTAGATTTCTCTATATATATACCCCTTTTAAGCAAAAGCTTCTTCGAATCAGTGCAAATGTTAATTTTTTGATATATTTTTTTTAAAATATATCTTTGCATTCAAGTTTGTCTTGTTTTTATTTCATTCAAGAAGAAACACACTTTTGCAACAAGTACCATCAAACTTTCTTTCACTCTTAAACAAAAATTCCAAAACAATCAATATTCAAAATCAGAAACAGCTCTAATAAAGCATATTTTTGGCATAAATAACCAAAAAATGTAGAAAAAGCACAAAACAACCAACATTACAATAGTCAACGAGGATAGATAGATAATCAATCTTGGAGACAAACACATGATTGAGTGCAGAACTTGTGATTGCTCAAATCACACACCGGCATTATTGTTCGTAAGTTGTAGATCCTCCGGCCTCTTGTTCGCGTATAGTATGAATGTCGCCATCTCGTAAAAGGATCTGTATTGTTTTCGTCGGTGATAATAGAACTGTCAAAATTAAGCATCAGAAAAGAATTAGAGATTATAACATTTTCAAACATGAACTTTTTTTTTCTAAACTTTCCAAAATAATGCACAACTTTTGCACAAACTATATTATTTTAAAATTTGAAGAGGTGTATGTAGTATAGTACCATATCATATTTTCCATTAGATCTTTGCCTTTTCTCAAGCGTCCAACCGGTTAGACGCTCTTGGAGTGAGGCCTCCGAATTCTTGATGAATAAAGGAGGGTTTGGATCTTCCGACCATGGTTGCACCATATGGTTTCCTAGGTCATCACTTCCGGTTGAAGTCATACGCCATGCGCCTTCTTGTTCGATCACTCGTATATGTGATCGACTAGTTATACCCGTTGTCACCTATATATGTATATATGTACACACATTTTATATTAAATATTAACAACTTTGAAATAAAACACAAATTAAGAGACAAAATATCACATATATATGTGTTATTAGACTAATATATCATTGTATATATATATATATATATATATATATATATATATATATATATATATATT